TTTCAATTGACAGGAAGATGCCATAACAGGTACTGGTGCTACAGGCCACACTGATAGCAACTGTCATCTTTTATGCCATTTGCCAAGGAGTTTGCCTGTCTGTTCTTTCTACAGGACTGCAGACCTTTTTCATTCCAGAGCTACCAAAGACCAGCACTCTCCCATTACCGACGCCTGACCTAGACCCTGAGAAGTACACAGCGTTTGTCATTTTAACCCAGACCAACGCTGACGACTTGCTGCTCTGCAACACCCAGCACAGCAGGTCCACCAGGTGGGTATGTTTGGTATTGTGCACAGGTCATTTCCACACCTCCAGTGACCAGATTCCCACAGGCATGAAGGCTCCCAGCAAGTCAACGAAAAACCTAAACAAGCGTCAGTCAGTTTGTTTCACCCATGTCACAGCACCTTTGCAGGCACCAGTTTACACCTTGCCAGGGCCTGGTCCTCCTCATGTGAGGGCTAGAGTACAGGCTGGCATGATGAGAAGGTGGCCAGGTCCCAAGGAGAAGCACGGCTAATGCTCTGTGCGCCAGACACTGTGCTTTCCTCTTGCTGCCTTGCTGGTTCTCTCCATGCCTTTGGAAAGCCACTGCTGAGCACAACAGCTGCAAACTACGCACTGCTTGGGTTAAATTCATCATTCCTCTGCTTCTGGCTGTGTCAGGCAGATGACAGGCTTTACTCAGGAGGAAAAATGCACCAGACAGTGTACACATAGCAAATGACATGCAGCATGCTTCCAACATGCAGCAACATGACTTCACAGGTATATAGATGGTTTCCTGGGAGCTCTGCAGTTTCATTCTCTTCCACACCTTGGCATTGAAAGGCTGATGTGCCCAACAGCAAGAAGTATTTCAGATGAGGACATCAGCATGTTTCATTCCCCTCACTGCCAAGCTTGGAGTTTCCGCCAGTTTAACACGCTTTTCTTCCTTTCTAGACCAACACACCATGGAGAACTATACCATAGACTCAGGCGAGTGGCCACTGACAACAGAATTTGACTACGGTGATTCAGCACCATGCATGGGAACTGAAGAAAAGTATTTTGCAGCAAAACTTTTGCCACCACTTTATTCTCTGGTGGTGATACTTGGCCTCATAGGCAACATGCTTGTTGTCCTCATCCTGGTAAAATACAAGAGATTGAAGAGTATGACTGACATCTACCTGCTCAATTTGGCAGTATCTGATTTGCTGTTTGTATTTTCTCTCCCTTTTTGGGCTTATTACGCTGTTCATGACTGGATTTTTGGGGAGGCGCTGTGTAGAATTCTCTCAGGTGTCTACCTCCTGGGCTTCTACAGTGGCATCTTCTTCATAATCCTGCTGACCCTAGACAGGTATCTGGCCATAGTGCACGCAGTGTTTGCTTTAAAAGCCAGGACAGTCACCTACGGCATCCTCACCAGTGTTGTCACTTGGGCTGTTGCTATTTTTGCTTCTGTTCCTGGGATAGTATTTCACAAAACTCAAAAGGAAAATTCACGTTACACTTGCAGTGCTCATTATCCAAGTGAAGCCACAATCAGTTGGAAGTACTCCTATACTTTAAAGATGAATATTCTGGGACTTATTGTTCCAATGCTCATTATGATTTTCAGTTACTCACAAATACTAAAAACATTATTGAGATGCAAGAATGAGAAAAAACAGAAGGCAGTCAGACTTATTTTCATGATCATGATTTTTTACTTCATCTTCTGGACACCGTTCCATATTTCTTCTTTTTTGCATACATTTCAAAGTTCACTTTTCAACCCAAATTGTGAAATCAAAGGCCAACTGGAGAAAGCAATCCAAGTGACAGAAACAATATCAATGATCCATTGTTGTATCAATCCTGTGATCTATGCATTTGTTGGAGAAAAATTTAGAAAATATCTTTATGCCTTTTTCCGAAAGCATGTTGCAGCCCACCTCTGCAAAAAATGTCCAAATCTTTATCGTGAAAAAATAGAAAGAGTTAGTTCCACATTCACACCATCTACTGCAGAGCATGATATCTCTACTGGACTGTAAAAATGCATCAAAACATTAGTTAGTAAATGTTGCATCACTTGTTTTGCCTTAAGGACTGCCTGTTTTTAAGATCTTTATGTCAATCACTACTGAAAACTGCATGACCCTCAATTCTTGTGGTTAACTGTTCCCTGGGGTCATAGCATTCTCCTTTCTTAAACTAAGGGAATCCGTGAGTTCTCCAGGAAACATTAACACCACAGCTGGATCGCATCAAGATTTGAACAGAGCCCAAATAGTGTGATTCTGTTTCTTGATCCAAATGCTATTAATTGAAGAAATGCTAGTGACATTTACCTGGGGGCGAATACAATGTTGAAGAGACTAAGGAGCAATATTTCATCTCACAAGAGCCATTTACTGTGATGTGAACATTTTAAGATAAACCCTGGGAGGAAGCTTTGAGGATTGATGTACCTGTCTAGTATTCAACATGAATGGAACCCCTTTTGTAAGTGATTATCCTTTCTGCAACGTGGTCAGACATTTGATAGGGGGAGGCTTTTAGTTTTCTTCACTCTCCCCACCCCTCATTATCTGGTGAGGTTAATAGCCACAGATAGACTAATGAAAAGACCAAAAACTATCCTCACAGTAAACTTTCTTGCTTGGAAATAATGTTTTTCCTTTCTTTTATACTTCTTTACTGCACTAAAGTGAAAGCACCTTTTTAATATTAAAGCATAAATTAGTTCAGTGTGATACAAATCCTGGTGTAACTGTGGTATTTCTACTGCTTTGTTTTATTTTAATTCTTCTCTTATTGGAATTATGTTTCTTCCTGTTTTCATGTTAATGCAGTGAAATCTGTGAATCTGTGTCTGAAAAACAATATATACCCTCTAGCCCATGCGAAAGGGCATCAGCTCTGTTGTCAGAATGGAGGTTGCAAAAAGATGCAACTATGGACTTAAACACTCACAATACAACACTCCAGCGAAGCAAACCAAACCAAAACAAACAAGCATATAACTGTCCGCCCAGCCCAGACGCTACTGTAGCTGGCACGGCTTTTATCTACCCACAAGCTTCAGTGCATTATAACAGCTTCAGGAAAAGTCTGGGGCCACAGATTTTAGATAGGTGAAATTTGACAGGTCAGAGAAACAGGGATGTGTATAGGGGAAGAGGAGGAATAAAGGAGAGCAATAAAACATGGCACTCCATTAATATCGAGATAAAGACAGAATTCTCCATAGCCGTTCTGCAGCTGATTTCAGATCTCCTTGCAGTTCATGAGTGACCCTAACAAAGTGGTGTGCCTGATCTCCCAAGTTCTACATGTAAGGAACTTTAAGCATTCAAAGTTCAATATGGAAATATGCTTCTGCTTCACCATATCATTCTCCCTGTTCCACTGTGACAATTCCTTTTTTCAGTCTATGATCCATACCTCCTCCTCTCCCCTGCACACTCTTTTAATCTGTCCACAATGGGATAAGCTAAATTCTATACCCACTGCCTTTGTTTTCTGATTGGCATTTTCTGTTTTGTGCTTGCAGGAAAGGAAACAAACTAAACCTAAAGATTAGCTTATTGTTATGTTTTGTGCCAAGGCAGGATAATCCTTGTGCCTTCGTTGTAGCTTTGCACTGGGACAAGCAAGGCTCTAGACAGTTTTGTGGGAGATTCTAAGTCTTAACCAGTCAGACGTAGCTGCAGCATGCTGTGGCTACAGGCCAGGTAGCTCCAAATTAGGCTAGCAGGACTTGAAGAAGTCTGGTCACAGTGCGATGGAGCTCCCCGTGGGGAAGGTTTCACAAGATCCCCCGTGCCTGTGCAAGAAATCACAAGTCACCTCAGCAGAGGGATGGGGGAAATTTTACCTACATGAGACAAATATTTCATAACTCAAGCTCTGCAGGGAAAAGCATTGAGATGAAGATACAGTGTGCATCTAAGATACAGCGTGTATTTATCCCCTAACGGGCAAAAGGAAATGGAACACAAGTGCACACAGGGTATTAGTGTGTGCTGAGCAGTCCTCACAACCAACCACCAGGTTTATAATCACTGCCATTGGTTTGTCTGTGGTAAGTACACAATGGACAAACAGAAATAGTGAAACCTCTGGTAACCAGTGCATAGGGATGTTCCTGTCACAAGACCTTCTTGTTTGTTAACCCAACTGTGACCTTATGTGTACACATTTTAGATAAGATAAAAGTAAACAGAGTATAAAGGAAGAGGAGAAGATAAAAATGGATAAATAGGAAAAAGTAGTGGCAAAAAAAAACGAGAGTATGACTTTATTAATTTTAACAGAGGCTAATAAAGTAATAGCCAGGGTAATGGGAAGATCAGAGATAAATACTTTAAGCAGAACATTAAAAGACTTAGGCCAGTAGAGAGACTTTCAGTTATGAAGCTCTAAAGCAAATATTCCTTCCAGTGAAAATTGCAAAAGGGATAAATATAAAGACCATAAGGACAAATTTACAGGGTATCTTGTTCCAGTTAGCAAAAAGCAAACAAATGAAGTGCGAGTAGAATGCTGACCAGGTTAAATGGCACAGCAGGCAGATACTGCTCATTCTGAAGTTTAATTTTGCTGCTGGTTTAAAACCACTGATGCCTGCCTGCCTTCTCCTAGTGGCTACTGTGGCCTTAGAAGCATTACACCTTAGTATAGTACATAAAAAAAGTTAAGCTAGCACAGGAAACAAAACCAAACCAGTAAATGCTGGTGCATTTAGAATATCAACAGCAATCAGGCTAAAAGAAAGAAAGATGTTTGTCTAGAAGGGGTGAAGGCATTGCTCTGTACCTATGTTCTGGTGACACTTGCATATTAGGAGCTGTACATAATTCAGAAAATTGAACGGTAGGGAAAATAAATGTTGCATAAATTTGTATAACTGCCAAGCAGTTTTGTAATTCCTGTGACAGTGAGAGCAATCTCGGTTTGAGTGTTTTAAGTCCGAAATGACTGATTCTGGGCAGGTGGGGCCACAACACTGAACCGGAGGAGGGCAGCATTATCAGATACACAGGCCAACATGCAAAACTGCACAAACCTTCAAGCGATGATCAGCTTTGCAGAACCATCTACAAGGTTGTGGCAGCAGGATGCTAACCATACAGCAGTAACAACACGACCTATCCTGATACCAGACTTTTTGAAAGGAAGGGAAACCAAGTGGATGTAAGTAAAGGAGTCATCTGGACTAACTTGCAGGGATGCTATCATGAGATATGGACAATTACAGACTACATCTAATCTTTGGCACCCAAAGGTGCTTTCTGGTTCCTTGGTCCTGTCACATACCTTGACACTGCATAGCCCCTGTCCATCCTTTCTGTGACCTAGTTTTCACTGGGAAGAAATGTGGTGTGTGATTTTCCCGGCCTGCCAGATCAAAGGTCCAGGATTTACACACAGACTGAAGAGTATTTCTGATTCACAGTTGATATAGCCCCGAACAGCACCTCTAGACCTAGAACTTATGTACTATAAATGTACCTCAAAACAGCAGAGTGTGAGAATTAAAGGCCTATGCACTAAGGAAATTCTGAGAGATGCAAATTGTGAAATGCATAGCCATGGCCCAAAAGTAAATCCACTGTACTATGATAACCTCTTATATATAAAACAGGGCAGCATACATCAGAAGCCTGGATAAAAATGGTAGAAGGAAGCAATGCTCTCTTCCTCCTCACTGCATGAGGAAGCACAGGTAGGTCAGTCAGAGCAACTTGGGGAAAGCCTAAACATGATACCATGACAATGGAATTTGTGCTGCAATGGATAATTATGTACGTGCAAGATTCACAAGAGGGAAACAAACAGAAAACAGAAGAATAATGGGGTGGGGGAGTGAGGGGGGGCAAACCTTGATCTTACTGCCAGTAAACAACCACGTGAAGAAGCAGTATTTATCCAGATTATAAATACTTGTGTCTTCCAGGGCTTGTTTTTTGTAACCTAGCTTCCTCAAACCTGTGCCCCAGCACAAGGGACCTGGACTCGCCTGCAGCCACATGCAAGACCTGATCAAATCTGACTTCCCAGCAGCTCTGCTTATCTGCAGCTGGTGTAGAGCTAATTATACATACTGTGTAGGTGCTGATAGTAAAGTCAGAGTCCAGGTGCCTGCTGCCAGAGTGTGTCCCTGTATTTGGGCTGCCAAGTATCATAGCTATTCACACTCTGTGGGAAGTTTCTCATCCAGAAGTAACACCCAGCTGGTGAGCAGAGAGAATCCATTCCCCTTTGTCAGCCGCTAAAACTGTGAGTGGCAGAGGCCCCCTGTTGGCGTGCAACACCCTCTGTGATCTTATGGTGCTAATCAGTAAATGAAACACCTTGTATGCCTCCTGATCAGATGTAAGAATGAAAAGGTATAAGCAACAAAATTAAACATGAATAAAGCCAATGAATCTGTGGAAACAAGGGACTATTTCTGAAGACCAGCCTACGACAGGTCTTAGTTTTAAGTTGTTGTTAGCTCAAATGTTTGAGACCACTTTTGTGAGAGCATATTTCACAATCAAAAGCTTGATGAAAAATGGGCAAGTCCAACAACAGGTTTGAGACTGTTCCCCCTGTTCATCTAGTGTGAGATTATGAAAGGTTTTAGAGCCTCTGGTAGGTTCAGTAACATGCAACAAACAGTGAACAATGAGGCAGGCTTCAGACATAAATCCTTAAAATGTCTGTTAATTTCAATATGTAGACTGTTTAGGAATTCTATATTGAAAAATTAATTTGATACAATACCTTGTTTGAGAATTATAAAAATTCATTATAAAAGTGCAGGTTTTTGTCAGCAAAGTTGACAAAAGAAGCTTGATTTAGGTGTAGTGGAAACACTTTTAGAAGCAGCTCTTTCCACTGACTGCATGAGGGGTCTAACAATAGTCGACTCATCAAGTAAGGCAGTGTGAACATACCCTTAGAATACCTTACAGTGGCTATTAATTTTGACGCTGAGACTGCAGCCCTTAGAGAGCTCATTGTAACAGCTGATTAAGAAAGGAAGAGAAAAATCTATTGATCCTGTGGAATAAAGACCTTGAATAGTCCCGCATGCAATGAAGGGTTGACAATGAAAACAACCTGAGCTTTTTGCTTTGCTAGCGTCTCCCTCCAGAATCCTCCAAAGAGATGTCAAAGGGAGGCAGTGGTTGCACTTTATAGGTATCTTCTCAGGGTTTCTCAGGCATCTGATAAGGCACTATCTCTTTCTTGCTTTCTCTGTACCTTTCCTACCTCCTGTGTGGTTTCTTTGATGTCTAAGAAGAATCTAAAAAGCTGCTCACAGTGTAGCTTCAGTTTAAGTCTAAAAGTCATAGGAATTAGCCGCAAGGAAATAAGTTGACAAGAAATCAGATTCTACCAGGCTTTTGTGATGCTTGATTCCAAAAAGTAAGTAACAGTTTTGTTTTAAAAGAAGCTCAGACTCACGATATAGACTAAGTCATAGTCTTATAAGAGGGATTAAAACAAAAACCACAGTCCAAAAGACTGGGTTAGAGAAAAATAGAATAAATCAAATCTCCTAAAATAGAAAGACTGCAACTCAGAGCAAGCCAACAGAAAGTGCAGGTAATTCTGAATAACATTGTAAGCTTTATTCAAAAGCTCCACATTTTGTTCAGGGACAAAAAACATAAAAGAAATGTAATTACTGAGAAATGTAAAGGGATGAACCTCATGTAAACTGTTCTTGAGTCAAAGACGTTAGATAAATAAAAAAGATAAAACAATGATATAAAAACCTTTTTCTAAAACTACAGCTGTGGGTTGTGAAACCTCGAGTTCAGCTCCTAGGAGGATCCTCCACAATTTCAACATTTCTGCACATCTCACAGAGTTAGAAAAGTAACATCTGATGACCCATTTTTAGAAAAAAGAGAACTGCTCTTTGATTTTTTTTTTTAAATGAAAACAGATTTTTTTGCTAGAAGTTTTTGAACTGATACATCCTTCTTCACGCAGGAAGAGGTGGTTTTGACCCTCTTCTCGTGACTAACAAATTGGTTTAGCGTTACTCTTGATGTAATAATCTAAGCCATCATTTGCACCATAAAATATATGGTAAGTCATCTTTGCTTTTTTTTTTTTTTTAAAAAAAAAAAACCAACATTTAGTACTTGCTTAGGTAGTCTAATGAATGCCTGAGGTGAAAAATACTTGTGTAATCTTGCCAGTGTACTCCTCTTTAAAAATTACCCTGGAGAAATGCATTGGATCTGCTAAATGGGATACACTATTTTTAAAGGACAGAACCACTAGAAGACTTGAGCAGAGGATCCAGGTAAGCAAATAAATAAATCTCTAGAGATTGATCTGAGTAAGAAATATAATGGAGTATGCCACTGATATTTTTTCTTCAGACGATATACAATGATGGAAGTCTGTATTTTAAAACTGTTACTGCAAAGACAAACAGCTTACCTGAGTGAAGAGTACTTATTCTTCTCACAGGATGGCTACAGAAAATATGATGCTGTATTTTAAACATTCTGTCTCGCAGAGCCTGTTTACAAGCAGCATAGCTTAGTATTTTACCTTCTTTTACTACACCTTTTTAATTGTTACTATTTTATAGCACTGTGCAAATGAACTGAAACTAACTTTAACAAAATTTTTGCCTCTTTAAAAACAGAGAGCTCTGACCTGAACCTCAGCATGAAAGAGTGACATGAGTTTGCTCAGTTTTTCTATGGAAAACTTTTCTCTTGAAAACTGCATGACTGCTAGTGTCAACCAGAGCAACAGAATTTGTACAGCAGATTGCAGATTTCTAGAAATATTGCATTTAACTACAGTGTTCAAAATAATATAGACCTCTTTTTGAAATATCCTTTCTTCAGACATCTTCCAGGATTATCTTTGGGTTTTTTTTCCTAATGATCAGGAAACATAAGCCCAGTCAGATATCTCTAATTAGGTAAACAACTCAGCTAAATTAACCCAGTGAAGCATTCTACCCCGTGGCCAACGCTGTTTCCTGAAACAGTGAGATTATAGCATAAATCACAAAACCACTTACAATTGCTTTTTCTGGTTTCCAAATTAGTATCTGAAGTTTCCATTGTCAGCATGTGCTGGATACTATACACAATTCAGGGCAGTAAGTACTTTTGCAGTGTGAGGCTTCTGAAGCAAAGGCTTGGCTAGAGGAATGGGAGACAGTTAGAGGAAGGAACTACTCAGAGGGGAGACCACAATTTAAGCACACAAAAAGGGTTGAAAGGAGGAAGATAAGATGCAGGGAAAATGTGAGTGTCATTTCAAGAAGGCAGAGGAAAAGGAGGGAAGGCATTGAGATAGCAGTTAGCAGGAAGAAGGGGCTGTTGCGGAAAGAATTACCACAATAATATCAAGGTAGCATTTTGCAATAATATTTGTGCGAATCCTATCAATCACACACTCATAAAATCCCACTCTGGGTTTATGAGCCAGGTGTTTTTTATACCAATGTTCATTGCACAAGCATCGCACAGGTGCAAAATGATCAAAACAGGACGTGCTGGGTCTGGCACTGTGTTGCAGCCAGTCCCTCATCCGGTAATCCCAGTATACAGCATGGCTGACACATCAGAAAAGGCAATATTTAGCTATATGCAGTACCAGGGACTTGTACTGTCAGGGCATGCAATGAAGATCTAGCAGATCTATCTGTAGGGAATATTAAATATTTGTACAGTGCACAAATCTTGTCATGTTTTGAAATAAAGAAGTTAATGTTTTGGCCGAAGGAGTGTTTTATAAAGGTGCATTTTTTCCTAAAAGAGTTGCTGAAAGCACTTAAAAAATAGAAACTCTTCAATACTTTAAAATCAACTTATTTACTGTCAATACACCTGAGTCACAGCCACTTCCTTTACCAACAAAACCATTATCTCAGTATTGTAATGACTACATAGTCAGTACGGCTGTGGAAAAAACCTGTTTCACTGATTGCCAGAGCTTCCTGAAAGTCGGTCTTTGAGGAGTTTGAGAACACTTATTTTCTTCCCAAGAAATTGTATCTAGGCAAAGCTGAGACCCAAACAGTTAAAACTTGCCAATTTTCTCTTATTCCTTGTTCTCCAGAAGAAAACTTCATGCCATACTCAACATGCCAAAGTAATGTCTGAACATGGCTATTCTCATTCTTGATATTGTCAGGAGCAGAGTTAACAGCCAGACTCAGGAAGGGGTGGGAAAAAGGGTTTGCAAAAGCAGCACCTCTTTTTGTTTACAAGGTGTAGATTTTGCTCCAACAAAGGTTCCTCCATTTTGGGCAGATTCCTATCTGCACTGTGCAGCATAAGAATCTCCATCAGGAGCTGTCAGCTCAAGAGAGACTCAGATCCTCATTTTTAATGTCACAGGAAAGTGGTCAAAGACCTAGAAACTAGTCCCTTCCCCAAGACCTCAACTTAGTTCTTGCTAGGTTAACCACTTTGACACAAATTTAGATATGGACGTAAGCATTTTGAGCAATCTGTGCTTATAGCAGAAAACAGTCCTTTCACCTGAACAGTTTTGTCTAGAGAGACACAAAAAGACACCTCACAGATTTCCCAGGCTGTAAATCAGAATGGACCACTATGAGCTTCCACCAAAAAGCAGACCAGGAGCCTGCCCCTGCGTCACTCCAGCCACGGGCTGAGTCTCTTCAGTTACATTTAGTCTTGCAGAACTCAAGTGCAGAGAGAATGAAGTGGTAGCTTTGAGAACATGGTCTCTGCAAAATGTCTGCAATCACACAGGGTAGACCTTGCCACTGAAAAAAGTGCATGGCGGGGCTGGCAGCAGGAAAGGAGCAAACATTGCTGCACTATGTGAGTGGTCAGGGGTCACAGAGCAAGCTGGGGCAAACACACTGCCTCAAGGCTTCTGTGTTGGGAGCAGTCTGTTGCCTTTGTCAAGAGAACAGGCATCAAACTGTCAGGAAAATGCAGATTTCAAAACCACCAACCTGCTGTGAACAGACACCAATCTGCCACCAAGTGCCTGACAAAAGCAGTCATGATGACACAGGAAGAAAGAGCAGTCCTTTTACCAGACAGCAAACAGCTCTATTTGGGTGGCTACCAAATGCATCGATTTCACTTCCCCACTAAGTGACCAGGAAGCACATTTGGACCCTCTGACACCTGTCTTGACAAAATCCGCTTCACAGTTTCTCATGGGACACACAGGAATTCTTCCATTCTCTCTGGGGGCCTGTGAGAAGGCAGATCTCCTTGACTTTTCAGAGACCAAATTACACAAATCTATGCTTCTGTGTCTGGCTCACAGTCCTAGCAGGGACTGGGGAAAGGCAGAGAGTTTGGTGACAAGAAGGGCTGCCATCGAAGTCCTAAACCTTTACCTGCTCCCACTCTAACAGCACTTGCCTGAGGGCTTTCACAGCTCTGCTGTGCCCTGACCTCCCAGGCTGTGACTGCTTCTTGTAAGGGAAGCCCAGTCCCTCCAACAGTCCCCAAATCAAAACTGGAGAGACAGAGACTTTGGACAGCCCAAATCTTGGAGTTTCCTCTAGTTTAACATGCTTTTCTTCCTTTCTAGACCAACACACCATGGAGAACTATACCATAGACTCAGGCGAGTGGCCACTGACAACAGAATTTGACTACGGTGATTCAGCACCATGCATGGGAACTGAAGAAAAGCATTTTGCAGCAAAATTTTTGCCACCGCTTTATTCTTTGGTGGTGATACTTGGCCTCATAGGCAACATGCTTGTTGTCCTCATCCTGGTAAAATACAAGAGATTGAAGAGTATGACTGACATCTACCTGCTCAATTTGGCAGTATCTGATTTGCTGTTTGTATTTTCTCTCCCTTTTTGGGCTTATTACGCTGTTCATGACTGGATTTTTGGGGAGGCGCTGTGTAGAATTCTCTCAGGTGTCTACCTCCTGGGCTTCTACAGTGGCATCTTCTTCATAATCCTGCTGACCCTAGACAGGTATCTGGCCATAGTGCACGCAGTGTTTGCTTTAAAAGCCAGGACAGTCACCTACGGCATCCTCACCAGTGTTGTCACTTGGGCTGTTGCTATTTTTGCTTCTGTTCCTGGGATAGTATTTCACAAAACTCAAAAGGAAAATTCACGTTACACTTGCAGTGCTCATTATCCACCAGAGCAGAGAAATGTATGGAAGCAATTCCTGACCTTAAAAATGAACATCCTGGGACTTGTTATTCCAATGTTAATTATGGTCTGCAGCTACACGCAAATTATAAAGACATTACTGCAATGTAGAAATGAGAAGAAACATAAAGCAGTCAGGCTTATTTTTATCATCATGATTGTCTACTTTTTTTTCTGGGCACCATACAACATTTGCATTCTCCTGCGTGATTTTCAAGGTACATTTTCCATCACTACTTGTGAAGGCAGTGGTCAACTGCACAAAGCAACCCAAGTGACAGAAACAATCTCAATGATCCACTGTTGTATCAACCCTGTAATTTATGCCTTTGCTGGAGAAAAATTTAGGAAGTATCTTCACACTTTTTTCCGAAAGCAGATTGCATCCCACTTCTCTAAATACTGTCCCGTTTTCTATGTTGACACAGCTGAGCGGGCTAGCTCCACCTACACACAATCTACTGGAGAACAAGAAGTGTCTGCTGCGTTGTAAATTGTGTCTAGAGAAAAAAAATGGAGTTGACTTTTATGAAATCAAGTCTGTGATGAAAGCCTGCATGATCTGTTCTGGATACTGGCTCTAAGGCAGCTGCAAAGGATGACAAAACACATATTTACCAAAGTTTGTACTTGCTCATGCATTTGGGTATTTGTACATAAATCAAAATGATGTATCAAATTAGCTACCTAGATAAGCTTTGTAGGGACAAAAAAAGTGCTCTTTTTTTCTGTGAACGTAAAAGCATAGTTTTGTACTTCAGGGCCCAAAACCACACACAGGCTGAGAGCCTAAGCTATCAGGCTCATAAACTGATTTTTGAGATGAACTAGAGGCTAGAAATTGGAAACATCTCTTGACTGTGCCTTACATAAGACGTTGCATTCATTTAAACTCCCTCAGACACATGTTTGACTAGTCTGGTTGTATATCTCTAAATAATGCTACATTACTGAGGTCGCTGATACAGAATCTTTACAAGTGGTACAGGAAAATTTTATACTTTTAGACGAGACTCTGATATTTCAAGGTATACTTTCCTTTGTGTATGGTTGAGTGCCAACCTCTTGGATCTTCCTCATCATAGGTTTAACTACTAGGTGTTGATATCTAAGTCACTTGAGAGTTTGCTATTTTAGAAGTCTCTCTTTTAATCAACTGCTGTTTTATATGCTATTCATACTAAAAAGCTAATGTAATGACCTATCATTGATCAGAAAATCAATGTTTTTATAACATTTTAAAAATGAAGTATTGCACATGGAGCTTTAACCAGGTTAGATTAAATGTGGACAAGGAGTCAAGAGGGTTTTAGCTTTTTAGTGCAGTGATTTTGCTTGACATTTTTCTAGCCTACATAACAGAAAAACTTTAAAATATGAAATTAATGTATTAGTAATGTCTGCAAAACCACAACAGCATTAGAGGTGTGAAAAATTCTAAACAGGGTTGACCCAGATGTTTTTAGAGATAAGCATAAGCTATAGACATTTAAGTTATCAAAATATATGACTAAGTAAAAATATTCACTGTTCTACGGAGTCAAGGGCATAGAGCATCTCTTTTCTGTTTTAGAAGGAGGTGTCATTTGGCGGCTATGAAAACGGGTTTTTTTTCCTGCCATTTAGGAGTTTCAGAGAGAGCAAAAGCTTCCATAATTAGTAAGACTGATGGTCAAATATGACTGGGCTTCCCCTTAAAGCTCAGATCTTGCAAAGCACTTGAACACATAGAAAACATGAAACATGGGGGTACTCAGGTGCTTAAGATCATCCCATAATCACACTATTAATTGATTTAGGCCAGGCTGTCCTTTCTAGCATTTCTTACATTTTCTCTAAGACAGATGGTTTTGGACAACTCTGGAGACAGAAAATTTAAAGTGAATATTTTGATAGCTGTCCTTATCCAGTAGGGTAATTTCTGTTTCCCAACTCCTCTAGACAGCCCTTTAAATAATATTTTCAAATAAGTAAATGTTTCAAACAGCCCCAAAGATATTTTACATTGCCAAGTGCTTGTGAAAGCAGGAAGTGAAATAGGGAAATCTTTGCTTATCAGACCACTTGGTTGAAGTTATAGAGTTTTGTCATATTAAGCTATGTCCACGTAAGAAGTATAACAAAAGTATACTACACCTTCTAGTTTACAAGGTTTTCAACTGCATACTCTTTTTTAAGACCCTGTGCATCAATTATTTTCTGGACTTTGTATCTGCTTTTAAAACAGGTAACTGTATCAGTATAAGCAGAAATCAGGTAATTTCAGCATAAAATTACAAATATATGCATTTATTTTTTAAAGAGATAGGAAGCTAGATGCAGTAACTACTAGATAGGCTGGCTTTTTTTTTTCCTTCTGGAATATCTTTATGAATATATTTTTATATTTTATTCTGCTCTTGACAAGAGCTTTCATTTGGCCCCTAAGACACCTTGCCTTTAAGAAGTTACTTTCTCTGGAGCCTTTTGATGCCTGACAGGATATGTATCCTGATGAGCCCTCCAGAAGCAAAGTACAACAACCGAACGTGCAGGAGCACACTGACAAGCTTTTCTGAGAGGCATGTCAAAAAGCAGCCCCAATCCTTTGGAGTGTTCTCTTCTATACCATGGATATTTCCAAGCAACAAGCAGCTTTCAAAGGGAAGAGCTGGAATTTAGAGATTGGTGGCCCAGTGAATCAGCAGCTTATCAAGAGCTTCTATCACTTCACCGAAAAGGGACCACACTTCAGCAAATGAGAACAAGCCTGATTTCGGCTACTGTAGTGAACTATGTCAAGGAGACAACAGAAAACATACTTTTTGATAGCACTGCTGGTACATTCAATAAAGGACTCTGCCAATAGATTGTAATAATATTTTGTATTGCACAATCCATTAAAGTGTGCAAAGTAATCCATTGCACAATCCACTTTTGTGTGTTAGACTTCTTGATCCTTCCCCCCTCTGCCCCTCCTTTTTTTAGAATAGCCCAGAAGAATGAAAAAGGAAGAGAAATTCCTTTCATAACAGGATGCTATGATGCTGAAAGAGCAAGCAGGATAAATTCAGGGTGTTACAAGGGGACAAAGAACCAGCATCATCAAATGATACAGGACCATCAGAATAGCTCCAGTGTTCCTAACTGCTTGTCATTAATAATTAATAATAAATATGCTATTTTGGTTGTCATTAGATTTGTTTTAATTTATTTTTACAGATGGGAAGCGCACCATCTCACACAATTCACGCTAATCCTAGATTAGTGTTTGTAAAATAAATAAGCATACAAAAGAGTTTTTAGCGTGTTTAGGATCTGCCCTACTGACGGAAGAGCTAACCTCCAATTGTGGCAGACTTATGCACACACTTATCTCCAGTTCTCAAGATTATGGTGCCATCACGTGGCCACACCGTAAGGTTCTGTGCTACCAAACATTCACTACCCTGGCAATGTTTTTGGTACTTACTTCTTCCAAAACATTTATTTTCCTAAGAGGATCTTCTGTCAAAATGACACTACAGGCAGCATCAGTATTACGCAAACAGCAGCAAGCCTTAGAAAACACTCATGGCTTCTAAGAATGGAGGTGTACAGGATGTGAGTGGGCATGGTCACCTTTTAATGATCCAGGCAAATGCAAAAGTATGATGTGGGAGAAGTGAGGCATATTTTAGTTCCTACACAAGTTTTGCATGCACTCACGTTGTCCGGATTCCAGCCATCTGCTCTGGAAGGACAGCGTTTGACATGCCTGTGCATCGCTTGAAGAAAATACATTCCCTGCCTTGCTGCCCTTGGAAAGACAATATGGGCTGAAACTTTAATGGAAATGGGATGCGCACACTTCCAACCTCTCCCAGACCTTGGCAGCTGTGATACTGGCCCTGCCGGCCCCCATCATAAATTGGCAGCACCAATACTGCAACCCTTGGAATACCAAGTAAGCTCCCTTGATGGATTTAGGGGTTTTTTGGGGAGTAGGGGGGAAGCCGCCTTTCTTTTCACCTTATTGTCCCAAAATTGGGGTCTGTCACCTGGTGTGCAACAAGTCAATCTGCACACAGAGTCGAGATATCATTTTATTGCATTTCTGTGCGGAGAGGGATGCTCGGTGGTAATCCACAAAGCTAGCACATCCTGGTTACAAATCATCATCTACTTACACACAAAAGAGTAACACATTCCTCCTTCTAACACATATGCATTACTGTTCTACAGGGACTGCCTGAGGTCTTCTTGCCCAGCTTGCTAATTACTGGGCATGCTCAGTCTCATCTTCTCGTGGGTCTGGGTACTTTTGGGGTAGGTGGTCTGTGAGTCGGTAGTCATGATCTCCCCCTGCCAGAATTACCTTTCCCCCAGTTCTGTGCTTTCTTGGTAGGTTTTCTCAGTCCTCCACAGGCAGTTGCTCACACTACCATTCAATTACTTTGAAGTTCTCCCTTAAATAATTCCTCATTTGACAGAAAGTCCTTGGCTAATGGTAAACAAACCTAACGAAGGGCAGGTTTATTGCAGTTCTTCCCGTAGCCTCCCTGACAACCAGACTACCCGAGACTAGCTAAAACACCCTACATCATCTTCAAACTTTATTAGCAACAGACGCCAGGGACAACACCCCCCTGCCGCAACAATCCTCAGGCCGCAGAGGACCCTCCTCCCCCTTACCGCTCACTGAGGTCCGCCTGGACGCCTTATTGCCTTCCTCTGCGCACTGGCCGGTGCCACCACAAGGGCGTGAAGCTGAGGGGACAGCACC